GTCTCCTAATACTACAGTTTTGTGTGAGATGTTCAGAAAGTCAAAGTTGGGACAATTCTGGGGTGGATTATAGACTGCATATACCTTGAAGTGGTTTTGACATTTCCAAACATTTAATCTGATTGTTTCGCATATGTCTTGTGTCGAGCCCATACTCTTGATTATGTCGTAATGTGATGTGAGGTCTTCTTTTACTCCAGTCAGAATTCCACTTGCAACTTGCCGGTATTTAGGTAGAAGGTACAAGGTATAACCTGGGTATTAATAGTATTTCAGTTTGTCATGATTGTGAATATGCTTTTATCATAGGTATGTAAGATTTTCTGGATTTGGATCTTCTTGTCCTGTGACATCCCTCCAGCATTCCACTGAAGGATCTGTAGAAGTTGTGATTCGCCCTTCCTTTCAAGCTAATCATAATAAATTGAAGTCGAATACCGAGTAATAGGGATCATGGTAGTTTGAAGTCAACTGCCAGGTAATTGACGGGGTAGTTTGAAGTGAGAAGTCAACTGCCAGTTAATATAACGAATATGACATAGAGAAGTCAACTGCCAGTTAATAGATCATGGTAATTGAAGTCAGAAGTCGAATACCGAGTAATAGACTTTTTGCCGTATGAATATACGTTGCCCAGGGTGCACCACGTGAAGGTATGTCATCGCACACCCCGTAACCAAAAAAATTAATCACAATGAAGAAATTTAAAGGAACAGATTTGATACTTTCATAAAACAGCTTGAAAAATATGAATTTAGAACAAATAGTGTTTGAAATTAATTTGAAAACCTGTTCTAATGGAAAAGAGGCATATTTATTCATTTCCATCATTACTTCAAGGGTCATTGGCCAACATTTATTTATTTAGCTGACTTCGGACTTCACAGAGGGAAGGAACATCTTAGCGAGAAAAATTCGAGAGGGGGGAAGAAGAGTGATTCACGAGTGTAAAGAGACAGAGGGACACAAAGGCAGAGAAAAGGTAAGATGAGTACTGTTGAGGTGGTGGAATATAACATAGAGTGGGGTGATGGTAGTTTGAAGTCGGAAGTCAACTGCCGATTTAGAGACTTTTTGGCGTATGAGTGATTCGCAGATGCAAAGAGACAGATGGGGAAAAGGTAAGATGAGTACTGTGAAGTGGTGTAATATAGCATACAGTGGGGTCATGGTAGTTTGAAGTGAGAAGGCAACTGCCTGTTAATAGACTTTTTTGCCGTATAAGTATACGTTCCCCAGGGTACACCACATGGAGGTAAGTCTATCGTGCACCCCACTGAGGCCACTCCTCTACCGGGAATTGAACCCGGGTCTTCCATGAGGCAAACGGAGCTACTTAACGCTATACAATCGCGGTGAACGAATGCATAATATAGTTTTTCCATATAAAGTCCTTACGGCAGGTGATGTCATTTCGATATTACGTTTAAGTAAGCAAATTTCGTGTGTTCCTTCAGTAGTTAATACACCATTTCATTTAGGAAGGCGCATTTGCTCAAATCTTTGCGAATTTCTGCACAAACATCTGTCTTAGTGCGAATTCATTATGTGACACAGCACAAATTAGATGGGGTTTGAATGACATTCAGATGCACATAATAATTTTTATAAAACTGCTGTTTTATTAAACCCGAAATCCAAAACTTTTGAAGGGTGAAAGACAACTATTTTTAAAGGAAGTCAACTGCTGGTAGAGACATTGGCCAATTAGATCCACACAACGATTTCCTGGGGTAGAAAAAATAAGTTAAAATACACCATTTCGGACAGGATAAATATGGCTTAGTGGCCAAAGATACAATTGATTGCAACGATGACCTTGATTAACAACAAAAATTAATTAACAGTGGTTGGGAAAATATGAATATCTGTAATTATTAGTTATTCCCAAAAAAGGCTGTGAGATACACTACGTAAATATTGTGGCAGGTTCTTTCCTGATGAAAAACATGGCACTTATTTTCGAAGCCAAAAACTACATTCCACAAGGAAGGTATTTCATTGTGCATCATACAGAAGTGGCCTGGTAAAAGAATTTCAATGCAACGGCGCAGAAAGAGGTTTGAATTCTTTCATGCCACTTGACTTAAATTAGGACTTTTTGTATGATAAAAGCCAAAGTAAAAATTGAATTTCCATTTTTTTGAAATTAATAGCGCTTTGCAAATCTTTATTTGTTGCAAAATTGCAATAAATCTACTGATAATACTAATAAAAAATAATTATTCAAAGGCGTATTCAGGAATTTTGGCAAGTAAAAATGATGTATTTAAGTGCCTGGTGATCCAAAACGATACGATGCCAGCAATAGAATTCTATACAATACTGGAGACATCAGTAAATGAATATGATTTGCAACTGGAAAATGAAATGTTTTGTAAAACTCAGGATTTTAACGAGTAAGTTAAGGTGGGTTATCGGTTATCTCCAAACACTTCCAAGTCCTCTGCATTTGTGTCTGTCTGTCTGTCTCTTTTACATCCGTGAATCACTCTTCTGTTCCCTTTCTCGAATTTTTCCCACTTTGATGTTCCTCCTCTCTATGAAGCCCGAAGTCAGCTAAAGGGCTAATGATAACTATCAGAACGCCTGCCATTTGAAATAAATAAATATTCTGCATGGTCCGGTCCTAGACCACATTAGATCTTGAGTGGTAATTCTCATCATTATAATCCACTTACCAGATTCTCATTCGAGCTAAAACACAGCTAATTTATTGCCACGGGGTTAGGCATTGTCCTTCAACATCTTTATCAAGTGGCTACGTTTATCTCCAGCCACTGGCCACGAATAATTGAATGCACCCCCTCTCCAACTCTATATTCTAAAGCAACACACAAAAGACAGCAAGTGAAGTGCAAAATTAAATCAGTATTCTAAAAGATATGCGGAGGAGGAGAAGAAGGTGTGGAAAGTGAAGCTTTCATTGAAAGATGATAGGTGAGATGTGTGGAGGCATCTAAGTCAATGCATAAGTATGAAAAGATTATGCATGCTCATATGGTTGGGGTAGGACGGTGACCATGAATATTTACAGAATCAAGCGGGGGATAAGGGGGAGAGGGGGGGGTTCTTGATGACCTAAACAGCGTTGCTAGTGTCTTGTTCACAAGCTGCCCCCGTTGAAGGCAGAACTCGCCACTTGAAACCGGGTAAACCTTGATCATTATCTCCCCGAACCCTAGTAAAAACTATCTTTCGTTCAGCTATTGTGTTCTTATTAATGAATGCATTACGAGCACGATGAAAAGATGTGGAGGTAACGGCATTTGAAGTGGAAATTGGACGGAATTTCTTGTCAAAGGCGTTGTTTGTGGCTTCCAACCATTTAGAGGCTCTGCCGAAAATTGTATCCCCACTGGTTTTACGAATGGTTGGTTCATTCGACAATTGAAGGTCACCCAATCGAGAAATGAGCCCGGCTTCGGGTCTTGACGGTCTTTTATGAGGTTCTTTTGGTGAAGAAACTGATTGCTTTGTGAATGTTCCATTGGTTTGAACAACCTTGTGCCTATGAACAACTTCTTTCTGGAATTTACTACCGTCAGAGCTTAATTCTAAAAAAAGAAAACAAAACTTTTATTAAAATATAATAATATCCAACAGACATGCAATAATACTTTTAGTTCTTGAAAAAGCTTGTGGGACACGTTATCGCTGTGTGCGTCATCGTATGCCTGCATGTCTGCTCGCCAGGATTGGGAGGTGCGCCGTACAACTCTGTGTGCACTGTACAAACAGTGACCAATCATCAACCTCTGTTTAACCTAATCCCCCATCCTGATCATGAGTAGCTCCCTGCGTGTACACACTTGATCCGCAATATACGTTCTGAATAAACGTGCTCCGTGCTACACGTCTGTTTCCTTTATAGCTGGGCTATAGCTTAGCTGGTTCTGGGAGTCTAACTAGATGTAGGAGGATCTGCCATAATGATTTTTGAGTCAGTCAGGCTTTACTAAGGTAGCAATCCGCTACAAGCTGATATATATAAGGATCATATAAAGCATTGTTAGATTAGTGAATTAATGTAGTCGTTTGTATGAAAACTTTCTTTTAAGGAACTGTATTTTAAACTAAAAAGACAAATTAATAGCCGATAATCTATAAAGTCTCATTGATTTTCATCTTTAAGTCAAAGAGGCAAATACTACGAAATTAATGGAGCCACTAGTTATTCTTTAACTTTAGAGAAGTTTTCCTATTTCCCCTCAATAATCCACAAAATTGAATTTATCAATCGAAAGTTCCTGAGGGGATAAGTTCTCATCAAATTGAATGTCAAATGACGTTTCATTCACGTTTGCATTTCGTCGTATTTTAAAGCATTATCGAAGCAGTGGGAACATCAAGGTCACAAAGAGTGGAGAGGGGGAACAGAAGAGTGATTCACGGATGAAAAGAGACAGACAGACAAAAAGGTGAGGTGAGGTGGGTACTATTGAAATGGTCGAATATGAAATACAGTGGGGTCCTGGTACTTTGAAGTCAACTACCGGTTTATAGACATTTTTGTCGTATGAGTATAAGTTGCCCAGGGTGCATCACGTGGAGGTAAGTCTGTCGCACACCTCTGGCACTTGAAATCGTTACAGATCATTATGACTGGGATACAGTGATCTTTCTAACAGTGTAGGGCTTTTATTGTTTTTTGTATACGGTGAGTTCATTTGGAAGCATCACACTGGTAGGGCTTGCTATAAGAGTGAGCATCGCATTCTTGTGAAAAGTGCTTTAGGCGGTTATAGAAAGTACGCGTTGCTGTCTTTCCTTTGTCTTTTTCATGACCTCACATATGATTT